GAATTCAGCTACGCTATTCATGTAGCTGAATTTGCGTATCTTAAATCAACTCCCCCCTGTAGTGTAGATGTAGCCTAACTCCTGTTGAAATGGAAGGATTTCCATCTGCTTTAATGGGAGCTGGATTGGGCTGCCACCAGGATCATCTCTACCAGCTTTGGACGTGATCTCCAGAGTCTATTCTTGTATGCTGGATCCTACAAGCTGCCTCTGTAAAAGGCAGGCTAGCTTTAGATTTGGTGAAATCTCATTCATCATGGCAAGGGCTGCAGATGTGTCATGACATTGTTTATCAGAAATCACAGAGCAGTCATGGTACATTTTGTGAAAGTCACAGGGTTGGTGTCTGCTCCATGAATTTGGATAAACGATGCCCTGACAAATGAGGGGGCACTGACCACCCACAGCAGTGCCCTCTGCTCCAGCATCGCAACCCTAACCTCAGCTTGGGGAGAGCGAGCCTGCCCTGCACCCTGCCCAGGCACAGGCAGTGGCAGCTTCTGTGTCCTGCGGGGCTGGGCCCGGTTCCCCACTCTGGGCGTTGTGACCTGGCCCATGGGGTTGTAGCACCATTCGCTCAGGTTTGGCCCTGCCACCTCTCTGTCACATGCTGCCGTCAGCACCAGGCCTAGAGCCTTCCTTCAGGAAGTCATCGACAAACCGAGGCAGCATGACAAACCTGCAGCCCTAATTATGGCCCAATACCTAAACCTCTTCAGGCAGAGACTGTCTGTTGTGTCACTTGCTCTTTACATAATAACAATATGAAGAAACCAGACAGGCACAGCTGGGTCCCAAATAATTATGTTTACTAACTATACGCAGATACACCAGGCTCAGCTACAGATACATGGCTGCTCTGACTAGTTTCTGGGGGTTTCTACACAGTGAGCACCACTAGATGGCTCTCCAACTGTTTAAAGCAGTGCTTTTCAAACTGGGGTATGGGGTACATGAGCTCTCATCGGGGGGTACGCAAGAAAAATCCTGTAATGGCGGACAATGGCATTATATTTAGTATAAAGGTTTTCAAACTGTGGCATGTACCCTCCCTAGGGGAGTGCGGAGGAAAGTTCAGGGGAGGCAAGTGGTGACACCAGGTGGCTCGGGCCAGTCCCATGTCACCTCCACCCCCTGACTCACCTCAGTGGGCCACCCAGCCTGTCTGGGTTGGGGGGGGGCGCAACCAAAAATTGTAATTCAAAGAAGGGGCTCAGCGTTTTGAGGGGGTGGAGAGGAGCGGGAGGGAGGGGGGGTCTTGAGGAAGAGGTGGAAAGGAGCAAGCAGCTGGTAGGGGGACCTCAGGAAGCTGGGCCACAGTCCAGGTTCCGGTGCCCCCCACTTCTAGGGAGCTTCCAGCGCTTACGTGTAAGCCTCCCCAAACGGAAGTCTCACACACCACCTATGACCTTTCCACATGCTATAAACTTCACCCGGAGCCTTGATGCAGGGTGCGGAGCAGCACCATTTCTGTCCGTTCTGTAACAGCTCATTCTTCTTCAAGTATTGTCCCTACGGGTGCTCCAGTAGGTGTGTGTGTGTGCCCCTCTGCTGTCAATTAGAGAATTTCAATAGCAGTCCATTCCACCCGTGCCCGCATGGCTCCCCGCCTGCCAGGAGGTTAGCCAGCATGCTTGGACATTTCTCCCTCAGTTTCTTCTCAACTGCGCTAGGCTAGAGAGACAGCACTGAGAGCTGTCCATTCACGGATCAGATCGTTACTTCCTGAGAGTTTTGAAAATTTTTGCTTCTTTTGAAGCCACTTTTCTTTTAGTACTTGTTAGTTTTTAGTTGGCCAAGAAAGAAAGAAAGGGTTTGCCTCCCGCCAACCCCGGTGGGGAGAGTCTCCTCTGGACAGGGGTATGCCTGGCTTTCCACTCTTCAAAAAGTGTCTTAGCTGCAAAGAATCCATCCCAGTAAAGGATGGGCACTCACAGTGTATTCACTGCCTTGGGGAGAAGCACAATCCACAAAAGTGTGGTTGGTGCCAGCAGCTAAAAAGCTCATCCCGGGATAGAAAGTTGAGACTAAAACTCGTGCGCATGGAGTCAGTCCTTCAATCCCTGGAGTCCTAGCATGAGCTGTCACCACAACCTTTTATGTCAAAGGCAGATGATCCCAAGGAGATGAGCCACTCGCTAAAGACCGGTAAGCAGAAGAAGTCTGAGAGTCCCTGTAGCGAGCCCAGATTGAGCTGGAAACGATCTCTGGCCCAGTCAGTATTGTCGGTGCCGTCGGCATCAAAGCCGCCAAGAGTCGGTACCCAGGGTACGCATGGCACTCAGCCAACAGAGACAGTCGGAATGCCCAAAGACCCAGAAACATAGATGACCTGCCCTGGGGAAGGCTACGTCAATGAGATCATCAGCACCAGCACCGACCGCAGGGCACTTACGGATCATACAACCACATCCACGTCTCCAGCTCCCTCGGTGCAAGCTCCTCGGCTCCAGCAGTCATTGGCATAAATACCGATACTACCTGCTGTTGAAATTCTCAGATTGACAGGGCAGAGGTGCACACACACACCTACAGTGGAACACCCCTAGGGACACACATCTTGAAGAACCATCGTTACTGCCCAAGGTGAGTAACTTTTTCTTCAGGGGCTGTAACGCTGTGTGTTTGGAAAGAATTTATAGTAATAACTGAGCATTCCCAGAATGGAACGTAGCTGTGACACATTTTGTGGTTGGGGAAGTGGCGGTGCTTATGGATAAGCTTTGGCTTTATTTAGTGATTTATGCAAACTGTCTTTGTCAATGGTATGGCCACAATCTGCAACTGAGGCTTTGGAAATTTCACATTTTCCCTGGTTTGCTCTAAAACCATTCTCAGCCAGCCTCGCTTCCCAGCTGTCTGGAGTTTCTCATGGATTCTAAGGGACCACTGTAATCATCTGGTCTGATCTGCTGTATAACACACACCATTGAATTCCCCTGAATTAGTTCCTGTTTGAACTACAGCAGAGCTGTTTTTGAAAAACATCCAACCTTGATTGAAAAATTGCCAGGGATGGATAATCCACCACATCCCTGGGTAAACTGTTCCAAAATAATTTAAATGCTCCCATGGCCAAGTAACAGGGAATGAATGCCCTGTAATACCTGCTCTGTGGCTCACTGTCAAGTAGTGAATGGGGTTGTTACTCTAAAACAGTCTCTCACTACATGTATGTACAGCTAGAATTGGGCAAAGTCGTTCAACCAAAACTGTTTTGGGTTAATTTCACCAAATTGTTTTGGCTGGAAAAAATCAGAAGTCGTCAAAACATTTCAATTTTTTGTTATGAAATTATTTTTCATTTAGAAATTTCCTTCCCATTTATTTTCAAAACATTATAAAATGTTCAAGAAACTCAAAATCCAAAGGAAACATTTAGTTTCAAGTCAAACAACATGTTTAGTTGGACCCAAAATAATTTTTGTTCCAACTTTCTGATCTGCTGAAAATTTGTTTTCAGTTCAACCCATATTGAATATTTTCTTCAGTGTTTTGGCCCTGCCAGTGAATTGAAAAATCTGTAATTTGCACAGCGCTGTGTGCAGCACCTGACAAAATTTGACCCAGTCCCACCCCCCGAGCCTTTTTCACTCACTGCACTCCCACTGTGCATCTTTGCTCCCCTCCCCCCATGCCCACCCTATAGATGGCTCACAGCTGCCAAGGTTTGTGTAGCACTGGGGACGGGGGAACTTTCTCATGGATGAAGAAGAATCACTGATTTCCCACATGTGCTCCTTGCCCCAAGCAGCAGTGGGGACAGGACATGGCACTGCACAGAACTGGGTGGCTCTGAATGTGGTAGGGGTGCTGGGAGAGGATGTCTGGGTACCTGGGGTGGGGGAACAGCTGGGGGCTGTCTGGGAACGGGGACAGAACTGGGCCCATCCCTTTGTCTCCCTCCCATCTGTACTCTCTGCTCCTTCCCTGCTCAGTAAGAGCAGACACAGAGAGTTCCCATTCCTGCCCACTGTGGCCATCCCCACCGCCCAGCCAGACATGTGAGATCCCAGCTAGGAAGGTTCATGGAGCCCGAGACTGGCAGTCTGGGGGCTGCCTGGCTACCAGGCGCAGGGGATGAGCAGGAGGAAGTGTGAGGCTAAGCAGCCATGTTTTATGATCCTGAGGGCTAGAAACTCTTTTTTTTTTTTTTTTCAAAACGAAAGCTCAGACTGTGGATTCCATCTGATGTAAAAAATGGTGGTCAAAGGCCATCGGCATTAAAGCTGCTCAGGGCTATTTTCTGACAGAAAATGCCCTTTTTGCAAAACTGAATTTTTCCATAGAGAAAATCAACATAACAGTCCCCAGCTGGCCATGAGGAAAGTTTTTCTCAATTTCTGCATGTGACTGAGATACCCAGACGTCAGGGCATTCTATGTCTACGCTGTAGAAAAAACCCTGTGGCAGTGAGTCTCAGAGCCCGGGTCAACTGACTTGGGCTCACACTATAGGGCTAAAAATAACAACATAGACATTCCTGCTGGGCTGGAGGACAGAGGTTAAGACCCAGCAGGGGCAGCGGGTGGGGGGTTGACCTGGGCTCAGAGACTCACTACTGCAGGGTTTTTATTTTGCAGTGTAGAGGTACCCCCACTCTCCCTGCCTCCCCCTAGCTTCAGGCCTGGACATGCAGATGAGCCAGGGCACTCATCCTCCTCAGCCCCATAGTGGGGTGGGGGTGGGGGAAGAGGTGGGGAGGCTGAGTGGCTGGGCTCTCTGTCTCTCCTGCAGCCAGGCTGGGAGGGTCTTGTCAATTCCACTCTTATTTTCAGTGAAATTGATGAGAACCTAAATAATATCTGTGATTGGATCAACTTCTGTTGGTGAGAGAGAGAAGTTTTCAAGCCACACAGAGCTCTTCCAGGCAGGCAGCCAAAAAGCTGAAAAATTCCACGTAGCGTCTTCTGAAACTGAAAATTTTCTTAAAATCCCTCCCTGTAAACAATTAGGTGTTTTTGAATTTTCGTCCTGGTTCAGGATTGATTTTTTTTTTGTGGGAAGTGATTTCCATTTCCCAGCCAGTTCTAGTCACGATGAAGAAAAAGGCAGTTACAATAAATAAAGGGATTCTCTGGCTGTGGCTGCATGAGAACTTTGGTGTTTGTGGAGCTGAATTTATTTTTAGCTAGAAGGGTTACAAAAAAGGTACCCTCCCCAGGACAAATTTCTTAGCAGTCCCATTTTTAAAAAATTATCTGTAAACTAATGAACAGTTTATACCTCTGTCTTTACTCCCTGATTATGGTCCTGATCCAAAGTGCATTGAATCTTCCCACTGATTTCAATGGACTTTGGATCAGGCACTGAATGCTGTGAATAGGGGGAGGGCACACTGTATTCTTCATATAAACCAAAGAGGTTTTCATCCCTGCTTTGAGGCTAAAATCCCACCCCCCACACCAATGTAGAAGGTCCAGCACAGGCACGTGAACCTCTTAAATTCCACTTATGCCCTATTTTGTGGAATTAAGGGTATGTCTACACTACCCGCAGGATCGGTGGGCAGTGATCGATCCAGTGGGGGTCGATTTATTGACCCCCTAGCGCTCTCCCGTCGACTCCTGTACTCCAGCTCGGCGAGAGGAGCAGGCAGAGTCGACGGGGGAGCGGCAGCAGTCGATTCACCGCGGTGAAGACACCACGGTAAGTCAATCTAAGGGTATGTCTACACTATCCACCGGATCGGCGGTAGTGATCGATCTATCGGGGATCGATTTATCGCGTCTAGTGTAGACGCGATAAATTGATCCCCGATCGCTCTGCCATTGACTCCTGTACTCCACCGCGGTGAGAGGCGGAAGCGCAGTTGACGGGGGAGCGGCGGCACTCGACCCCGCGCCGTGAGGATGCCAGGTAAGTCGACCTAAGATACGTTGACTTCAGCTACACTATTCTCGTAGCTGAAGTTGCATATCTTAGGTCGATCGCCCCCTTCCCAGTGTAGACCAGGCCTTTGTACGTTGACTTCAGCTACGTTATTCACGTAGCTGAAGTTGCATAACTTAAATCGATCCCCCCGCCAGTGTAGACCAGGCCTTAGTTACAAACAGACCTTCTGCTGGGCCCTTCAGAGGTGAATTTCAATCCATGTGAAAAACCCAATCAAGTGTTAGCTACTGACACTATATGATATCAGAGAGACAAATTAGGTGAGGTAATGTCTTGTATTGGCTACAACACAGCAAACAATATACAAATTAGGTGAGGTAATGTCTCATATTGGCTACAACACAGCAAACAATATACAAATTAGGTGAGGTAATGTCTCGTATTGGCTACAACACAGCAAACAATATACAAAGTAGTATATTGTTCAATATACAATATACTTCTGTACCCAAGCAAAAGTTAATCTTGTGCTTGAAAAACAGCAGGATACCAATCAATGCAATGTTTTTGTAAATGAAATAAGAGTCAGAAAGAGAATGATCTAGATACTGTGGAAACTGGAGCTAAGTAAATGAGAGAGACGGAGCCTAGAGCAGCTCAGCAAAACTGTGGTTAATCAAAATCTAAACCAGGTTGATTAAGCTGGAATTTCATTTTGAAATTTTTGATTTTTTATTTGAAATGACTTCTCATTTTGAATTTTAAAATTTTTGTATTATAGTATATATTTAAAAATGTTGAAATCAAAATGATTTTATCAAAACAAAATGTTTTGATTGACCCAAAACAATTTTTTTTTTGCAGAGTTTCCCTTTTTGGAGAACTTTGAAATGTTTAGGTTTTGTTCTGATTCAGAATGAAGCCAAATTTCAAAATCTCAAAATCCTTCACAAAGCAGAACTTCCATCCTCTGCATAGTTCTAACAAAGGCACTCATATATCTTGGTGAGAAGTGGCTATGTAGACGTGTAGGCTACGTCTACATTACAGATGCTACAGCAGCACAGCTACTGCGCTGCAGCCGTGCCGCCATCGTGTAGACACTTCCTATAGTGACGGAAGTGTTTTTTTCATTTCTGTAGTTAATCCACCCTTCTGAGAGGTGGTAGATGGAAGAATTCTTCTGTTGACCTAGCAGTGTCAACACCAAGGCTTAGGTCAGCTTAGCTGCATCTCTCAGGGGTGTGGATTTTTCACACCCCTGAGTGAATAGGTAGGTCAATGCAATGGGTTGCTGCTCACCTCTCTGGTTGGGAGTGTGTCTGCAGCTCTCTCAGGTTGTGCTGCTCTTCAGTGACTCAGCCCTTTGGCTAAGTCAGACAGTCTGTATGTGAAACAACACAAACCCTTTCCAGGGTAAACAGTCCCACAGGGGCCTATCACAGTACCCCTCGGTTGGTGTGTCTCTTCCTGTAACCCTCCCTGGGCTCAGGTCCTTTATTCATTCAGTCCCACAGGGGCCTATCACAGTTACCCTTCCATTGGAATGTCTCTCCCTGGGCTCAGTCTTTAACCAGTCCCAGCCCTGGTATGGGACTGTGCCCCCAGGGCTTTTTCTCCCTGGAGACTCTTCTGGCCCCTCTTCCAAGAGGGCTGAATTAACTCCCCTCTCTGGGGTTAGGCCGCTCCACCTGAGTCTGGGGCTGGGGGGGCAGGGGAGACACCTGGGGCCTGCCTACTACTCTAAGCCTCAGTCTAGGGACCCTACAAGTAGCACATGTGCTGCACCCCTCTAACTAATTGCTGTTGTTTCCCTGGGCCACTTCCCCATGGCCCTGCTTGCCTAAGTCCCAGCGAGCCAGGAGCACCTTCCTTGCTTCCCCGGTCTGTGCCAGCACACTGAACTCACTCTGGCCCTTCAGCTCCTTTTATGTGGAACTGCTGGGCCCTGATCGGCTACTCCCTACAGCCTCTTTCTGATTGGCTGCATCCCATGCAGCTGCTCTAGGCATCCTGGAGGACTCAACTTCACTGCTCCTTTCTGAGATGGGGTGTGGTAAGACCTCAAAGCCTCCATCAATGGGCCTCCGGGCCTAATACACTGCATCACAGTCAACATAAGTTTTCGGTTTGGACCAGGCCGTAGTAATCAAGATGGGGGTTCCATTGTGCTGAGCACTGCACAAACACTGCGATTGAAATTGGGGCCCTGTTACCCCAGGCACTGCACAGACAGACAGTGACCAAGATTGGGGCCCAGTCACACCAAGTGTTGCACAGACACACAGTGATCAAGTTTGGGCCCTGACGCACTAGGTGCTGCGCAGTCACATACTCAAGAATAATCCCTGCCATGAAGAGCTTACAATCTAAATAGAAAATGTTGAGAGATTAACTGACTTGATCAAGATCACACAGGGAGTCTGTGGCAAAGGGAAGAACGGCATATGAGTCTCCTGAATGCCAGGGTAGTGCTTTCAGCCTCAAGGCTACCTTTCCACTCTGTGAGTAATGGCAAATACCTCCTCCATCATCCATCCCCATCCACTGGTTAATGCAGCTGAGATGATGCTGGGAGAACTTTATGTCTGACACTTCCGGTAAAATGTACAACATTGTTACTGTGTTTGTCTAGGTGTATGATTACATCCGCAAATTCATTGAAAATGTACTCGGAAACCCCAGATTTCGGCATCCTATTTCAGCGATGGATGTTCTCCTCTTTGTGTTATGCACAGTAGTTCACCACAATATCTATATAAGTGCAGAGGCCATGAGCAAGATTGAAAAAATGGCCCAAAATGTTGATTCACAGAAAGACACATTCATGAACCTGAAAGAACCAAGAAAAAGGTAATATCTATCCAATTCTCTCGCTATATGTAATGCATTTGCTTGAACTCTGCCTTTGGTTTTAAAGGTAACATATTCCCTTCCCTTTAAATGCTGTGAACTGACATGTTTGCAGAGCACACAGATCAAAAAGTAGGAGACTTAATTATTTATGGGTTTTCATTATGTATAATAGAGGCTCAGCATGGGATCACCCTCTTCAAGGTTAACCCTAGGGTGACAATTACTATAATGTATTATTTGTACTGCAGTAGCACATAGAAACTGTGATCCCAATCAGCAAGATCAAATTTAGGGGCTGCTGTGTGGCAGGTAATGAGAGTCCTACCCCTCTTCTAATGCTAGGCAGATGGAAACCTAGTCTAGCCATCAGATCTGACAGCCTTAAAGTCAATGAGAGCAGAGGGTTAGTGTTTCCAAGGAACAGGTCTCAAGTTGGCTTACAGACGCTGACTTCTAATTTTCCCTGGGGTGCTCAAACCCCACTCAGCCCCAGACCCCGCCCCAATTCCACCCCTTCCCCCAACCCCCATCCTGCCCCGCCTCTTCTCACCCCCGCTCCACCCCGGCCCTGCCCCCACTCCACCCCTTCCCCCAAGGCCCCACCTCTTTCTGCCCCTCCCCAGAGCACGCCCCATCCCCGCTCCTCCCCCTATTGAACAGCTGTTCCGTGGCATACAGAATGCACTGGAAGGGAGGGGGAGGACTTGATTGGGAGGGACCACAGGTGGGTGGGAGTGGGGTGGATGCGGGGAGCTTAGCTGCCGGTGGGTGCCAAGCACCCGCTTATCTTTTTTTTCCATGGGTGCGCCATCCCTGGAGCACCCCCGGAGTCGGCGCCCATGAGCTGACTGCTAGTGGTACTACCTCCGGATGGGTAAGAGCTCTGGCAGAGCTGCCCCATCTGCATGGAGGTGATTGAAACAAAACATCCCAAACCTCAGTTTTCTGTGATGGTCTTAGGTGCTGGACTCTTGAACCTGTGGTTTGTAGAATGCCCATTGAATCCCCGGAAGATGGATATACAGATGTGAGGGGGGAACATCTGCCAGCTCTCAAGCTACCGCAATCTTAGTATCAGAAAACAGAATTTACAAAGCAGGACAAAAAGTCAACATCCTGAAAATTTTCATGCAATGAAAAGTTCTGAACATTTTCTATTGGGAAATGTCGCAACGGAAAACATTGATATTTTCTGATTGAAATAAAATGTTTCACAGTTTGAGGTGCCATTTTTCATTTTAAAAAGTTGAGTTGAAACAAAATTTTCTTTTTGATTTAACATTTTGATTTCAAATGGCATTACAAGTGCCAATGTTGATTCAAAGAAAACTGGTTTCAAATGTTCACTCTTGGGGAATGTAATCTCTTGCTAAACCCCTGTTATAGCAGGCAACATTGGAACGGGGGACTTGAATTTAGCTTTCCCACATCTCAGGAGAGTGCTTTAACCACCAGGCTATCGAGTCATTCTTTCTTGTGTGCTTTATCTGGCCCAGTGACTAGTCAAGTGTTTTATACAAAGGTTCTACCAGAGAGAGCCATCACAGAATAGCCTAGCAGTTAGGGCTCTCACCGGGGATCTCCTACATCACACAGCTGAGTGCCCTCACCACTGGACTAAAGGTTATGAAAGTAGCCGCACATCCTTCTCTGGCTGTTTTGTGACTAGCCCTTTAACATACCTGGAAACAACAGTTTTGGGTTGAGTGCCAGGTTTCCTTTGACCCAAAATGGACTTTTTGGATTTGTTGAATTTTGGGGGAATTTTATGATTTCGTTCAATCTGAACCAAAGGTTCCCTCCCTCTCCCCACACAATATTTTGGAACAAAAAAATTACTTTTCATGCAGCGCTGAAAATGACCTTGGCCCTATGTGTACAGGAGCGTGCAGTATCTTCACCCTGCTGTCCAGCCATCGATCCAGCTCGCAGCGGAAGCTTAAACTCATGAAGAGCCGCACTGACATAGCTGTGGATACGGTTTGTCTGAATATGAGGAATTTTCTGTTTGTTTAACATTTTGCATCCCTGTCATTGCAGGAAGTGTATTTCAGCTCTGAAGCATGTTTGCATCCAAAGCTCCAAAGACTCTAAGAGCACATGTTGGATCTGGCTGCTTCCTTTGCTGTATGCAGTTCAAAGGGACCCATCTGAAAAGGCAGAGGACCCATTAACTTCACAAGACACGTGGTCGCTGCCTTTTGCTCAGCTGAGGCGGGAAGAAGAGAAGCAAATGTGAGTCTACAAGAGAAATATTCTATAAAAGAACGTTTTAGTTCTTTTGTCTCACAAAATGTAATATCATTATTTGTGGTATAATGATTTGGAAGCACTTGGCATGCTGGCTCCAAATGGGTAGTACCACTGAAGATTGTGTGGGCTAGTGGTTAGAGCAACTGACCTGAGTCCCAGAAGACTTGGCTTCTATTCCTGGCCATGCCATTGGTTTGCTGGGAGACCTTGGGCAAATCACTTCACCTCCTCATGCCTCGGTTCCTCCATCTGTAACATGGGGATAAGGATGTGGCCTCAGAGTGCTTTGATGCATAGATCCCAGGGCCAGAAAAACCATTGTGATCATTTAGTCTGACTCCTGTATAACAGAGGCCACAGGACTTCCCTGAATTAATTCCTATTTGAACTAGAGCAGATCATTTTGAAAACCTTTTAATCTTGATTTTAAAATTGCCAATGATGGAGAATCCATCATGACCATTGGTAAATTGTTCTAATTACTCTCACAGTTAAACATTTACACTTTATTTCCAGTTCGAGATCTACAGATGAAAAAACAATATGTCAGAGCTTAGGGATTATGATCTGGGTTGCTTCTGTATTTATATTTGTCGTGAATTTATTTAATTAATTGATTTTTAAAAATCCTTCATCATTATGGTGCAGAGGTAGCCGCACCGTGGTTCAGGCTGCGTGGTAGAGTTCAGATTAACAGGAAAAAAACAAACACAAGTTCTAAACTCTGAGCTCTATTTGCATTTTTCATGGTGAATTGATGAATAATGAATCGACATAGAGAATAATGAGAGAGAAAATAATCATCCCTGGTGAATTGTCTCATTTTCCTTTGAGTTCAGCAGTGTTAAGGCAGAAACATTTCAGAGACACATGGGCCACATGCAAGTTAGATGTGCTGGACTGTTGATATAACTATAACTGATCATGAAGAAGGTCACAAAGTTATAAGATTTACGAAGTCACTGTTAAGGTTTTGTGCTGAATGGGGCGGGAGTGTCTATGTTATGAATTTGCTGATTTTAGATTTTAAAGCTGAAATCTAGTAAACTAAATTTGCCAATTTGATAAATGTTATAGGCAATACTGGAGTGGGATTTCATTAGGATAACCTCTTTTATTGAGCCCAGGGAGTGCGAGATTACTAATTTTGAGAAATTCATGAGGGTTCAAAAAAGGGCCAGGAGAATTATGGAAGGATTGTAAAGGCCTTATAGTGAGAGATTCCAGGAGCTCAATCTATTTAGCTTAACAAAGAGAAGGTTATGAGGTGACTTGATCACCATCTATAAGTATCTGCATGGGGAACAGCAATTTGAGAATAGAAGACTCTTCAGTCTAGCAGACAAAGGGTATGTCTACAATTGCTGGTAGATTGGTATTGCTGTAATTGATGCAGCGAGTGTCGATTTAGTGGGTCTGGTGAAGACATGCTAAAGCAATGGAAGAGAACTCTCCCATCAATTTGTATACTCCACCTCCCCAAGAAGCATAAAGGAAGTCAACAGAAGATGTTGTCCCATCGACACAGCGCAATGTAGCCCCTGCGGTAAATGGATCTAACAACCTCGACTTCAGTTACGGCTATTCATCTAACTGAAGTTGCGTAAGTTAGATTGATTTACCATGGTAGTGTAGACCAGCCCAAAGGAATAACAAGATCCAGTGGCTGGATGTTGAAGCTAGACAAATTCAGACTAGAAATAGCATAAATTTTGAATAGTGAGGGAAGTTAATCATTGGAATTATTGATCAAGGGCTGTGGTGGATTCTCCATCAGTGGCAATTTACTGTATAAATCAAGACAGGATGTTTTTCTAAAAGATCTGCTGTAATTCAACAAGGAATCATTTCAAGGAAGTCTTGTGGTCTGTGTTATACAGAAGGTCAGAACAGATAACCACAGTGGTCCTTCTGGCCTCAGAATTTATGAATCTATTAATCTATATTTTTAATACTAGGTTCCTTTCAGGTCTACTTTTACCTTAGACAGTGTTTCTCAGAGCTGGACAAATAGTTATTCTTAATCAATCCACAAGTTGATGAATTCACCAAGAACCACTTCAGTCTATAATCAGTAGTTTTATAGATGTTCAAATATCACATTGTAGACATATACAAAATGCTGTCTTACAAGTGACTGACATAAACAGCATTGAGTTCAAGCAGCTATAGTACAGAACAGTACAAATCACCATCCATCCTAAAGAGGCCACAAACATCACCAGCCCAATTTTTGTTTTCCTTTGCCGGTCATTGTAAAGCAACAGTATTGAGGAGAGAATTACTCATCCTCTTAGATACCAGCTCCTTGGGCCAAAACTATAATGATAGTTCATGTAGTTTAAAAGAATAAACCAGTCTGCCCACAGCAAATACCTCCCCAAGTGCAGACTTTTATTAACATAGAGCTATCTTCCACCTATCCAGGAAAGTTCTCGCGATGATAAACGCCCATCAGACCTTCATCGGGAGCTGCGCTCCTCTGGCAGAGAAGGTCATTGAGATGCTTGCCCTGAAGAATTTTTGTCGGGAGCCTGTTCCTCACATTCATGTGCCGCTGCAGCTTCTCTTGAACAACGTCTACCAGCGGATCACCAGTCGCCTAGCAGAGGGTCACGGAATAAATGTAAGGTTAACAGACAACAAGCACGTTAATGGGGCCACCTCCCATTCATTTTTATTTCCTAAGCCATATTTTCTAGCTGGTCATAAAGTCTTTGTTTTTCCTATGGAAAATTTCAATTAAAACAAAATAAAGAAGGGGGCAAATATTGGGAGACAGGATCTAAGGGACACTAGAATTGAATCTGGGAATTTAGATAGAAACAGGAAAAATAATGTAATCAAAATTCCTGTCAAAAAATGATCAAAAAACCAAAATCCCAGATACTGACATTTTTTCAGATCTCACCAACTGAGTCCCAAAATTTTTGCAGCCATAAATGGCCAAAAACTGAAAAAATAGGCCAAAATCGCAAATTTTAGAGGGGTGTGTGTGTGTGTGTGTGTGTGTGCTGTTTCTTGACAAAAAATTGAAATTGTCAATTTCACCTTTGGTGAAACTTTCATTTAGTCAAAACCCCAATTTTCCATTGGAACAAAATGCTGAAGGAAAACTTTAAGCAGCCCTAGTAATTTCCTGCAAGGCCTTGGTGAGGTGCCTGGCTTGGGTTTCATTGCTTGTTTTCCAACCCACGACTTTCCACCTCAGCTTGTCTAACTGCATAGCATCGGGCTCAGTCCCCACCATTCAACTTACTCAGCTTTAAGTCTAGTGGTGCTGTCACACCAGTGTGATGAGAATTTGTCCATTGATTTCAATGGGAGTTGGATCAGGACACATGCTAAATATTTTGGGCATGGAGGACGTGATCCTTAGGTGTGGCTTAGCCATGCGGGGTGCAGGACCTGCAAAGTCTGGGAGGATAAAGGTGACTAGGGGTCACTGAAAATGTTCTGTCAAAATTGTTTTTCAAGAAAATTTCGGTTTTCAACAAAACTTTTTGTTTTTCCTTTTGGTGTAAAAATTGGGATTGTTCATAGAAGAAACAAATATCCAAAAAGTTTTGGTTTTCATCTGAAAACACTGGGCTTTCTCTTTCTTCCTTTCTTCTTTTCTTTCTTTTCAAAAAGTTGAAGTTCTCCATGGAAAAGAAATGTAATTTTTGATGAGCTTTAAAGCTGACCCATTTCCATGCTATATGCTCTTTCAGTCGTTTCAGGAAAGTGATGTCAATGTAGTTTTGAAGGACATTGCCAGAAGGACAAAGGCTTGGCTTGGTACCAGGTGAGTATTTTACGCCCAAACTTCTTAACAAGGTAGCAAAGAAACAGAAAGCGGCCACCACCATCCTGGGGAGAAGCAGGAGGAGTACCATATATATATATTTGCCATCATTAATGTTTGGTACTTGTTTAGATTCTGCTTATACCCATTGAATTTACACTGAGTGCAACCTAAAATAATGAAAATAATCTCTATTGCAATTCCTTGGACAATAATCCAGTCTTTTACTTCAAAATCCACGTTGGGGATTGTTGAAGACTCATCGCCTTCATTCATTAATTGGGTAATAGCTTGTTTGGCTTTATCCATATCGTTAATAATTTTTATGAGGTGGGTCTCCTTACGATTGGTTACAACGCAAAATTGGCTATTTCCAGCATAGGTCACCCTCTCCATCAGAGTCTTCCACTTGGTCAGCCTTACCACACAAAACAGTGAGGCCCTTAACCTTTATTTTCAGCTCCCCAAATACTTGGGGTTTTCTGTTGGGCTGTTTATTTGTGCAATGTTTATCTGTTCAAAGTTCATAGGCCTTAAACCTTATGCTAACTTGCTGACGCTAACATCTTACAGGATACAAGTCTGTAGGTTTCTTGCATTACTGCTGAATATAATGCAAAGCAGAATATAATGTAAAGCAGTAAATATAATAAAGGCAAGCCAGCCCACTGGGCTACAGTAGCAGTGAATATAACAAAGGCCAACTAGCCCACTGGGCTATGGGTGTTAATGAACCCTTGTCCCTATTACATAAGATGAGGACTTTACCCTTAACACAACAGATAACAGGAAAATGGGAATTGCCACCTGCTTAATTAGTATAGGTGTATATGTGCTTTTGGGGTTTGGCAAAAATTTAACCCTGTGACCCTGGACTCCAATTGACCATAACCGTAATTTTAAGATATATTGCAATACTGGGATACCAGCCACTTCACTATATGTTACCCTCCGCATACAAGCCTATTGCTTGGTTAGCCTGGCAGGCTACCAATGACGATGACAACGGATTTTATGGTACCTTCCTTCTGACCACATGTTTGAGGTGTGTCCACCTCAAACATATTGTATTTGCCAATGTGCTGATATCCCTCTTCAGAGCAACAGGCCATCGGTGGAATTTTCCTGTTTGGGTGATAAACTACCAGAGGAGATAAATTGCTGCATTTATTATAGACATTGTCTTCAAGGTGACCTACTGAGTGGGTAACTGCCAAGTGACCGAACATGTTCTCATCCGGATTGAACACATGCAACGAGGCTGTGAACAGGACACACAAGATTTTGCCATGATAATCTTAGTTAAATAACAGAGGAGTAGCCGTGTTAGTCTGGATCTGTAAAAAGTCTGTTTTCTCAGCTTCCTTCACATGGTACAGACACTGGAGCTTGGGAGTCTGCATTTAATTGGCCAGGTGTCTCCCTGAACCAACTGTTAGGACATCATGGCTGCTGCAGAGGAGGAACAATGCTGTCAACTTCCTGGTGCTGGGAGCTAGTTTTTGGCTTGGGTCCCCTCTGAGGATTTTGTATTGTTGCCAAGTACCTGTACAGACACGACCCTTTTCTGGTACAACATTGTGGGACTTGATGTTATGGGCATTTACTAGATTTGAATTGATAACTTAATTCCTTTAACTATTCCTAAACAAACCTCAGAATGACACAAGTTATACAAATTCAAACTTAAATAATTAAAAAGATTTGTTCCAGTATAAATATATCTACCCCCCTCTGATATAGGGATAATATTGAGGATCACCAAGTTACTTTAGCTAGAACTTGATTTTATATTTTTATTGTTTGATTATAAGAACCAAACAATATTATTATTATATATTGTAGTATATTGTATTATATTATATTATTATATTTTATATTCTATATACATATTTTATATTATTACACTATAAAACATTATAATGTTATAGCTGTAATATAGCTATTAAAGGTAGAGTTTTACATTAATATTATGGTGGTTTGCCCAATGAACTTACGAATTTTTAACGTGGGTTCTGCCAAACAACTGGCCATATTGCCTGACAAATTCCAAATAAAAATTATATATATATAAAATAATTATGCAATATATAATATAATATATAATATATAATTTAGAATATTATAATATAAAATATAATATAATACAATCCAATATACTATACTATAATATATGATAATAATATTGTTTGGTTCTTATAATCAAATTACAATTATATTGTTCATTGACAAACACACCTGTATTTATGACTGACTTTTGCAAAGATTGAGCCACCACTGATGTTTTATAAGGACACACCCATGGCGGTTGAATTCTAATTCTAAATAGTGTGGTACTACAAAGGAAAATGTTTTATTATTAATATGTTTTATATTTTAAATAGTGTTATTATTTGTATGCACATTTTTGTGTGCAAAAATATTGTTGCAACAAAAACTCTCCAAAACCATAATTTAGTCATGTGACACAAAACATAGAACTCTCTGTGACGGGTTGGATCACAGAAGCCCCCCTTGGGAGCTGCCAACTGATGTGCCAAGACTACTTCTGCCCCTGCTTTCCTGGCCCGTCAGCTTAGAATTTCAGTGCCCTGCCTGGTTTGAGCCAGACTTGCTAGCCTGCTGCAAACCTAGACCCAGGTCTGAATCACATCACCTAACAGCTGTAGGCTTCCCTGAAAGCAGCTCACAGAAATGTTCCTGTCTTTAACACTCTGATTCCCAACTCCCAATTGGGTCTAAACCCAAATAAATCCATTTTACACTGTATAAAGCTTATACAGGGTAAACTCGAATTGTTCGCCCTCTATAACACTGATAGAGAGATATGCACAGCTGTTTGCCTTCCCCAGGTATTAACACATACTCTGGGTTAATTAATAAGTAAAAAGTGATTTTATTAAATACAGAAAGTAGGATTTAAGAGGTTCCAAGTAGTAACAGACAGAACAAAGTAAATCACCAGGCAAAATAAAATAAAATACGCAAATCTATGTTTAATCAAACTGAATACAGATAATCTCACTCTTAGAGATGCTTCAGTAAGCTTTTTCTCAGACTGGACACCTTCCAGGCCTGGTCACAATTCTTTCCCCTGGTACAGCTCTTGTTCCAGCTCAGGTGGTAGCTAGGGGATTCCTCATGATAGCTCTCCCCTTTATTCTGTTCCACCCATTTATATATCTTTTGCATAAGGCCAGGGGTGGCTCTAGCTTTTTTGCTGCCACAAGCATGGCAGTCAGGCAGCCTTCGGTAGCATGCCTGCGGGAGGTCCGCTGGTAACACAGATTCGGCTTACCCACCGCCAAAGCCGTGGGACCGGCGGACCTCCCACAGGCATGTCGCCCCCGCAGGGACCGGGAGGGCGCTCCCAGCAGCTTGCCACCCCAGGTACGCGCTTGGAGCGTTGGTGCCTGGAGCCACCGCTGCATAAGGTGGGAATCCTTTGTCCCTCTCTGGGTTCCCACCCCCTCCTTCTCAATGGAAAGTCACCAGGTTAAAGATGGATTCCAGTTCAGGTGACATGATCATATGTCACTGTAAGACTTCAAACCTTCATTCCTCCCAGCCTGACTCACAGGAAGGCCTGCCTGCAAACAGAGCCATCCACAGTCAATTGTCCTGGTTGAGGGGAGCCATCAAGATTCCAAACCACCATTAATGGGCCACACTTTGCATAATTACAATAGGCCCTCAGACTTATATTTCATATTTCTAGTTTCAGATACAAGAGTGGTACATTTATACAACTAGGATGACCACACTCAGTAGATTATAAGCTTTGTAATGATACCTTACAAGAGACCTTTTGCATGAAGCATATTCCAGTTACATTATATTCACTCACTAGCATATATTTATAAAATCACATAGACTGCAACGTCACACTCACAGTCAAGTAGTTTCAACATACCAACAAACCATATCACCAATGGATTAAACATTGTTATTCAGAGCAGGTCCAGGAAACCTAAGGGTGGAAATCATTAATCGTTTCAGGTTTACACCTTGGTTTGCCTGTAAAAGAGTCTAATGATTTAATTAGGAGCCAAATATGTTTTCTTGCATCTTTAAACTCTAGATTAAAACACAAGTCGGTAAGAGCGAAAAAATATTAACATATATTAACTTTATTTGTTTAGGCTAGGTAAAGGGAAAATTATAAGAGATAAGTCGAATATTTTCTTTTAGTGAATTAAGAATTGTAACAATAACTATGATTTAGATTGCGGGTAACAAAAGCGGTTGCATTTTGCTTCAATACTTCCTATGTAAAGCAGAACGATTATATGTTGCCGGCTTCCTTTACCATGCTGGGTATGTCTGAAATTTCAACTAACGTGATACCTATTTTTGGAATAATGATTCACAGCGACTGATTTAAACTCCAACATTTTGTGGCTGCAATTTGGCTAATACAAAGATGCAAGTAACAAAACAATATTAATACTTGAATTTCACCTAAGGTGTGTAATTACCCTCGCTTTTTCCCTACTGCCTCCCACTTACGGTGTGGGGGCTAGGGGAGGGCAGGGGCAGTAAGCAAGAGTTAGCTTTACCTTATACATGTACATTAGACATAGCCCAGTGAATGTAAAAGGATGTGAGGAGCTCCCACCGCTGGAGAAGAATGGGGCCAGGAGGTGGGGATTCAGGCAGGGACAGTCTGATCCTGACCACCCTCTGCTGTGTCTTGTGTCTGAATGTGGTCCTACACTGCTATGAGGTGTGACCCGAGACATCCCAGAATGCTTAGCACTTGCTGGGCCGTGCCTGCAGTATTCTGAGCACTCCCTGGTTGGAGCAGAGGATCAAGGCTGTGTGGAGCTGTATGTAACTTAGCACTTACCCAGGCCCTGAATGACTCACTCTGGGCCCTCAGAGAGAGGGACTGAGAGTTAGCTCTGACCCCAGCTGACCTCTGTCTATCTCAGGTACTTATCTGTCTCCCATTGGCTTAATATTTGGGCACCTCAGAATCTCTGATGGATTTATCTAACTGGGCAAGTCACTTAGTCTCTCTGGGCCCCACTTCCCCATTGGTAACCTGTGGATAATAATCTTTCCTTTGTCTGTATAGACAGTGGGACTGTTTCTCACTGTGGGATCCTCACTGTTTAGTACTTGCCTAATATACTAGTTGTCCCATATTTTTATTAATTTTAAATGATATTTTAAAGTTAAAATGCAATAGATTATTGAAGAGCTGAGTTTTCAATGCTATTTCCTTTGCTGTATACACAGACATCAGACAGGAAATGCAGAGGATGTTTTGCAGCCAAAGAAGTTGGAGGATGTTCTGCAGTGCCTTAATCTAATACTAGCTTTGGTCACAATTTTCTTGAAACACCCACAGAAAATACCATTCAGCCCCGTGATGACATCACTGCAGATTTGGGAATTGTTCTCTGAAACAGAAGATTTACTGCAAACCAAAAGGGTAAAATGAACATTTTAAGCGATTGATGAGGAATTTTCTCTAAAAGTTCCAAGATTTCTTTCAGGACGCTCATACCCTCATTAGCAGTGACGAACTTTGCCGTGCCAAAAATGTCCATTAGTAAAACCATGAATTGTCACCGAGGTGCCATATGTGACCTGGCATAAACCTTCTCAAATAAAACTGCTCAGAGCAGGCTAATTGGAAGCATGGCAAACATGCCAGAAACCTCCGGAGCCTTGTCTACACCAGGGCTCCCGCTGGTGAGCCAGTCGTAGCAATGGTGGAATCTTGATATGCAATTTCCTAGTGTGCATTCAGTGGGCCAGATCCTCTTCTGGTGTAAATTGCCACAGCTCCATTGATTCCAATGGAGCTTGGCATGATTCATACCAGCTGTGGTATCATTGACTCCAGTGGAGCTGTTACCAATTTACACCAGCTACTGATCAACCAGCTCTGCCAGCCTGTTCAACTAATCCCTCCACCATTTAACACAGTTGTGGTCACTGTGTTAAGTGCGGCTGTACTGAATGGTGGAGAGATTCATTGGAGCAGCTTGGAAGGGCTGTGACTGCGATTTGAGGTGCACTGCCTGTGTAACTGGAGGGATCCAGTATGAGTGCTGAGGTCTGTAGACTGTGTCAGTAGCTGTGGGGGTTGTCAGTAATCTGGTCACACACATGCTGTGGTCTCTGAGGCATAGTGAGGGGTAAGTGAAAGCAAATATCAGAAGGAATTCTCTGTGTAAGGGTGAAGGGGAGGGAACCGTTTGCCTGTCAGGGGTGGTTTGTGTGGACCAGGCTCAGTGCTGGGAGTGGGGTGTAGGCCGGGGGTAGGTAGCTCCTGTTTGCTACGCCTGACTGAAAACTGAATTTTGCCCTAGAAAAGAGAACATGTTAGATCAGAGGCATCAAGTTTCTGAGTTCCTGGGCATGCTCACCCCACTCCACCCCTCTCCCAAACCACCACCCCGCCCTGCCTCTTTCCACCCTGCCCCACATCTTCCTGCTTCCGCTCTGCCCCCTCCTCCCGGTGCCTCTTGCATGCCGCTGAACAGCTTATCGCGGTAGGCGGGAGGCATTGCGGGAGAGGGGGAGGAGTCGATCGGCGAGGCCGCCAGCAGACGGGAGGTGCTGGGGGGGACAGGAGGAGCTGGCTACTAGTGAGTGCTCAGCACCCACTATTTTTTTTCCATGGCTACTCCAGTCCCGGAGCACCCACCGAGTCGGTGCCTATGTGTTAGACTGTCCTACACTGCTCACATTTTCTGTTGCATCTGTCAGGGCAGAGCACTGATGTGCATGTTGTTGGGGGTGTTGGGGCATACAGCGCTCAAAGATTTAAGGTTGTTTTGTGGGGGAGGCCTGGACGTTAACACTGTATTTCCTGGTTTTCAGAGGTTTAAGTTTGTGTTACATTAATTCTGAACTGCCTGGCTTTCAGAGATTTAAGTGTAGATGCTCTGGAAGAGCACAAGAAAGTGCTGCTCAGTAGATAGTGGAGAAGCTTCACAATGTGACCTCATCTCTTGGATGTTTTGATCAGCAGTGAAATAGCTAACGATATGGTCCTTTCAATTACAATTAGGCTTCAGACTTAACACTCCATTGAAATATTCTCCCTGTCACTAGTAGCTTTTAAACCAAGATTGGATTTTTTTTAAAGAGATACTCTAGTTCAAACAGGAATTATTTTGGGGAAGTTCTCTGGCCTGTGTTTACAGGAGATCAGACCAGATCGTGACGATGGTCCCTTCTGACCTTAAAATCTATCAATCTATGAATAAGAACATAAGAACGGCCGTACTGGGTCAGACCAAAGGTCCATCCAGCCCAGTATCCTGTCATCTGACAGTGGCCAATGCCAGGTGCCCCAGAGGGAGTGAACCTAACAGGTAATGATCAGTGAACCTAACAGGTAATGATCAAGTGATCTCTCTCCTGCCATCCATCTCCACCCTCTGACAAACAGAGGCTAGGGACACCCTTCCTTACCCATCCTGGCTAATAGCCATTAATGGACTTAACCACCATGAATTTATCGAGTTCTCTTTTAAACCCTGTTATAGTCCTAGCCTTCACAACCTCCTCAGACAAGGAATTCCACAAGTTGACTGTGCGCTGTGTGAAGAAGAACTTCCTTTTATTTGTTTTAAACCTGCTGCCCATTAATTTCATTTGGTGGCCTCTAGTTCTTATATTATGGGAACAAGTAAATAACTTTTCCTCATTCACTTTCTCTACACCACTCATGATTTTATATACCTCTATCATATCTCCCCTTAGTCTCCTCTTTTACAAGCTGAAAAGTCCTAGCCTCTTTAATCTCTCCTCAGATGGGACCCGTTCCAAACCCCTAATCATTTTAGTTGCCCTTCTGTGAACTTTTTCTAATGCCAGTATATCTTTTTTGAGATGAGGAGACCACATCTGTACACAGTATTCAAGATGTGGGCGTACCATGGGTTTATATAAGGGCAATAAGATATTTTCCGTCTTATTCTCTATCCCTTTTTAATGATTCCTAAAATCCTGTTTGCTTTTTTGACCGTCGCTGTAAACTGCGTGGACGTCTTCAG